ATATTCAGTTCTCAACTCTCAAATTTGGTTTTATTTGGTCAGGTGTTTTCATGTTGATGGTTCATGTTGAGGTCTCTTTTGTTCGGTGTCATCATGATTATATGCATAGGTTGAGCTCAATCATGCGTACATGCTCAGTTGAGCATATTATTAGATTGAGTTATGCCATTTGGTTTTTTGAGTCATTTAGTTTTTGAGTTCCCTTTTGTTAGGTTTTTACATGATTATAAGCTCATGTTAAGCTCAATCAGATTGAAGGCAACTATGTTCGGCTCATGCGTGCTTATATTGATTGGTATATACTCAGGTTGAGTTCAATCAGATGGACGATGTTTGGTTTATGGGTGCTAATTCTGAGTTGTTGAGCTCTTTGAGTTTTCTTTTAATTACGGTTTTTGTGTTTACATCCATAGGTTGGATTAATAAGCACAATGATGGTTTATATTTAGTATTTTATGCTAATTTTGGTTTATATTTGGTACTTTATGCTAATTTTGGGTAGTTTATACTCAGTTCTCAGCTCTCAAATTTGATTTTATTTGGTTTGCTCTTTTCAAGTTGATGGTTCATGTTTAGTTCTCTTTTATTTGTTGTTTTCATGATTATATGCACAAGTTAAGCTCAATCATGCATACACGCTCAGTTTGAGCATATTATTTTATGGAGATATGTCATTTTGTTTTCTAAGTTGTTGAGCTTTTGAGATCTCTTTTGTTAGGGTTTTACATGATCATAGGCTCATGTTGAGCTCATTCAGATTGAAGCCTGTTAGGTCTCATATTTATGAGCCTACTATCCAATCTAGTTTTGATGATTAACAAATAATTCCTAACATCAGTTTGTCGAGTGTTTTGTATTTGCTTATTAGGAAATCTACACAAAGATCCTCTTGTTGGAGGTTGGATGTAATTGAGCTTAACGACGATATCTAAAGGAGGTTGGAAGGAAATCGAAATAAAGCTTTGCATTTCAAGTCAAGATCCAATACCGCTTCATGCGTAAACCAAGATGGGCTTATTGAAGATCATTTATGTGGGTATATTGGTTTAAGTGGCTTATACTGTGTGTGTTATATTTTAAAGCTCAAATATTACACACATACACGTTTTCGTTTTATAGCTTTTAAGTTTAAATAAATATAAAACAAATATTTATATTTATATACATACATACATACATACTAGTTTCATGTTTATCATTTTTATTTTGAAAAGTAATGTGTTTAACCGTTTAAATATAAAACTAATAGATATACTTATATACATATATATTCATTTCATATTTATCATCTTTATCTAGAAAATAATATTTTTATAGATTAAAGACTTGTTTATACTATTTTATATCTTTCCTCAAGTCTTTTAATCTATTGAAAAGTGTTTTAAAACTTGTTTGGAAGAATTTTATCAAAAACCAAGTGCTTGACGATTTCATATTATTGAACAGTTTACAAAAAAGTTTTCACAAATGGGAAATGAAATTTGACAAATTATTTTTCTAACATGTTTTATTACATGTTTATAAATATTTCTCAATATTTTACCATTTTTGGAGTTGATTTACTATGTTAGATTGATTTTACAAAATCAAGTGTTTCTCAGTTTTCAGAATCTGGAATATCTGTTTTAAAATAGTTATTTCTCACAAATCCGAACTGATATTTGAGAAATTATTTCTCTAACATGTTATCTATATGTGTAGAAACGTTCCTTAAAAATTTATGATTTTTAGAATTGATTTGCTATTTTTAATTGATTTTAGAAAGTCAGCTACGCAAAAATTTTAGAATCTGTCATATCTACCGTATGCATGAAATCGGTCGACCGACACCTATCAACAAGTCGAATGGTGATCTCAAATCGGTCGACTGACACATGAAACTCAGTCGACAGAGAGCCATTGCAAAAAAAGACTAGTTTTTCAGATTCTATTTTTTTGTGGGTTTTGCCTCGTTTTTTGTGCTTTTCTTTTAGCTTTGGACTATATTGTTTTGAGTGTCTATAAATACCCCTTACCCTCAACAATTTAGAATAACCATAGATATTTAAAAACAAAATTTTGCAAGTTTATTTAAAGGTTTTTTTAAGAAAAATCAAGAGTGTTTTGGTTTATGCAAAAATGTTTATAAGAGAAGGAGATCATTTTGGTTTTGAGCATCAATCTTCAAACATCCATCACTCTAGTTCTTAGAAAAGTTTTTCAAACTCTTTAATCTAGCTTATTGTCATTTTGATTATTATGGATGATCCGCTCCGTTGAACTTGATCTACATATTCTAAAACACCAACACACCAAATTTAGGGTGAACCCATCGTGGTTTGACCCTCCGTCGAGCCATGTAAAAAGTTCTATTCATTCAAAACCGCTAAAATTGATACGAGTGGATGAAGGGTCAAACCACGATGGGTTCACCCCAAATTTGGTGTGTTAGGGTTTTAGAATATGTAGATCAAGTTCAACGGAGCGGACCATCTACAATGTAGCTCAATCAAGCGATCATCAATAACTAAAAAATTATATATATATATATATATATATATATATATGCTAGATTAATTTGAGTTTGATTTTTATTATACTTATTGTTTCACACAAACTCATATTGAGATTAATTATTTTTCACACTTAGTATATTTGGGTTGTGAGTGTGATTAGTTGAGTGACCTTACACTTAGTTCTCATCCTTGTATTAGAGAACAAAAAAATTTATTTTGAACTTAATTATTGAGATCACATTGCAATACATAAGGACGCTTAGAAAAGTGATTGGTGAGAGACGGAGTCAATTACTAGAGGAGTGGCGTCGGATGTAAATCCTAGGAAGATGTAGTAATTACGAACACTTGAGGAAGATGACACAAGCTAGACTAACACTTAAAGGAGTGCATTGTGTATTGACAATTGTGTGAATTATAAACGTTTGTCGGTGAGTGTTGAAAACCGATTGTATAGTTATTTGAGTATAGTGGAGATTCTCCTCGAGAGTGAGGAGCGAAGACGTAGGTCGTGGTTCGACCGAACTCCGTGAACATATTCTTGTGTTTGAGTTTGGCATTAGCGTATTTTTATTGCCTCATTGTTTATATCACATATTGCTTCATATTTGCTTATCCTGGCTTATATTATTGTGCATATCGTATTGTTAAGGATAATTTGGCATCGATATCGGATTAGATTAGCAATTACCATATTCACCTCCCCTTTAGGGTACTTTCAAAGGCAACTATGTTCCGTTCATGAGTTCTTATTTTAAGAGGTATATGCTCAGGTTGAGCTCAATTAGATGGATGATGGTATATGCACAACTATGATGATGGTCTTTTTTTAATGTATGTAGCCAAAATTTATACTAATAATCAATTGGTGAGGCTATACATGCAGTCAACATTGCTGTTTTAGATTTCATAGCTAAGCATATTATGACGACATAGACCAAAATTGAGCATAATTGAACCTTTCTCTATAGAATTCAATGCTTATGTTATGTCTTCAGAGTTAATTTTGAGTCCCCATAGTCTTTAAAGTTATTTAAATTTTTTTCTAAAAATATTCATATGTGGACATTTTGCAAATTACTACCTCAAATCTTTAAATATTTTTTCAAATTACTCCTTCATGTTGTTACATGATTTGAAATTTTTCCCTCAAATATTCACACTTTTGTGTAATGGAAAGCAAGTTGACCCCTCATTTTTTGTTACCAATGATTTTGTTTTATGTGAGTGGTAATCACATCATGGTGACCACAATCAAATTTTCTTTATTTTTTAGTTTGAAACAAACACTAGAAAATGAGGGAATCTACCCATACATCAACTACTTTCTTTTCTTTTCAAGTTGAACCAAACAAATGAAAGTTGTAGAAAGCAATTATTCTTCATATTTTTCACAAAACAAAGACAAGAAATAACTTTCCATGAAAGTGAAGGAAACACCAAAAAATGAAGAAATGTTGGTCTTGGAAAATGGAGGAAAGCAACCAAACAGCCCCTAAGTGAGTTGGTTCATTCTCTCCTTATTTTTTACTCTAAACAAACACACATAAGTTCGATCACACTCTCTCCCTCTACATCCTCTAGTTGCATATCCAAATATTATTAGTTTTATCACACACATTTCCTCTTGGAGTTTAGTTCAATCATTCTCCTCACTTCCCATTCCCTCTTCTCTATCCAAGCCCACCCAAAACAAGGGGATGAGAATAAATTTGAAAGATGACCGTAAAGAAGGCATTAGTTGGTTTGTGAATCACATATCTATAGGAATTTGGTTGCATATAAGAGATATTGAAAAGATCATACTAAATATTTTGTTCGCTTGAAATGGATCTTGGACAAAATCCGATCATTTTCCAGTCTGGTTCAACCTAAATATTATTAAGGATATTTGATTGAAAAAAATTAGACTAAAGTTAGTATGATTTTCACAGATCCTATTCAATTCATTTATCAAACGTAACAATTCACAATTCTAAATAAGTAACACCTTTTATAAAAATCCAGAACTTTAAACTAATAAGTTCCATTCTTCAATCCAAAGTTTCACAAAATACATCAAAACAAACAACACTACCATTTGCCAACACTGGCACTCTTCCAACTAAAAAAAAAGACCACCACAATTCAATTTTGTGCGTTGAAAATTTATAATTTGAACAGGATCGAAAATCCCATAAACCTCATTCGGATCGACATTCCGTATGCTTTATTGCCCACTATGCGCCATTCTTATCGGATCAAACCCGAATCAGATCCGACTACGTGCCCGAATCCAATTTCGGACTTTCTCGTCGCGCTCGCCAATCTAGCACCCCTGCCTTGTTCCGCGAACACCACACATTGGTATTTTGTCATGGGTGCCAATCACTCACACACACCTCCCTCTCCCACACAAACTCCAACCAGCGGGCCCACACCTCTTTCCCTCCCAAAAAAAAAAGTAAAACCCATTAAACAAAAAGTCAGTAAAAGACGAAGAGAGAGAGAGGAAATCAAACCCAAGAGGAGAGAGAAAGAAAAGATAGAGAGAGAAAGCAGAAGCAGTAGGTAGAGGAGAGAAACAGGCGACCAAGAGAGAAGCTAGAGAGAGAAAGAGATGATGGCGGCGGCGAAGAAAGGCCATCTGAAGAAGAAGCGTCGGATCCGATCCGAACTCGCAGATCCGAGCCGGTAAACTCACCGCCAGAGGCTCGCCGGAGCTTACGTCCACGTCAGACTCGGTACCGTGCCGACCTCGAGGACGAGCTCGATCTCATGATGAAGAAGAGCAAGAGCAAGGGAGGAGAAGCTCAAAGCTAGTCTTAAAGTTACCTCCTATTTCAGCGGCGCGGTGCTGGGACTCGAGTCCCGTCACCGCTCCCAAATCTCGCGCGTCACCGCCCTCGGATTACTCGCCGTCGGTTTCGTATCGGTCTGCCACATCAGCATCGGAGGATGATGAGGATGAAGAGGAGGAGGAGGAGGAGATTGTGAAGCCGCTGAAGAAGCGGAGGATTGATAGGGTTCAGGATTCGGATGGATCTGGTCACCGGGAGGTAACTTTAGCTTAGGAATTTTTTATTTGGTCCCTTACAAATATATTAGCTCAACTCAGTGGCCAAGTTGCTGCTGCGGATTTTCTTTTTAATTAAAAAGTTTTGTGGAAGGTTGAATTAATTGTGTTTGTTTATGCTCAGAAGAGTAAGAGGAATGGTGTTCTGAGACCAATTCGAGCTGTTACAGGTTTGATTTTGATTAGCTATTGCCCATTTGTTCCAATTTCTCAATAAAAGATTGGTTTTGAGCTGATTTCTGCGTGTTTTGCTTGTGCAGGGACTCCAATGCCGAAGATTGATGAGCTGGAAGAGATTCTTGATAAGCTTCAGAAGTGCGAATGCACTCTTTATTTGGATATTTTCATTGATTTCAGCTGAATTTAGTGTGAATATTGATTTCTGTTGGTCTTTGGATTTGCAGGAAGGACACTTACAAAGTCTTTGCTGAGCCTGTGGATCCCCATGAGGTTTAGAAACTTAAGATTCTATTATTTTTCAAGAGTTTTAGTGGTAATAGTAAGCTTATGATTTCCTTTACCTTTTGTGTAGCTTCCAGATTACCATGATGTGATTGAGCATCCAATGGACTTTGGCACTGTAAGGAGGAAGCTTTTGAGCGAAAAGTACCGAACATTTGAACAGTTTGAGGTTAGTAGTTTGTTGATGTTCATGGTGAAGAAAGCTTCAACTTCATTAATAGATTTTTTTTTTTGTCTAGATGCATTTTGATCAGTGGAACACGCCACATCAATATGTAAATTGATTATAGAGTGTAGACAGTCTACTAGTTTTGAAGGTGAAGAGAGTGCAGATCACTTGAGACATTTATTAAAACATCTGCTTGAGCAAACATATTTTACAAAATTCTTGTTTAGTTATCTAATATTAGAAAGCGGAGGAGAAACGTGAGGAAATATTAATCATATTAATATCTCCCGGTCCTTATAATTTACATACTGAGCAGATTGATGCATCCAATATACAGGTAAGATTCTAGACAGTTGCCCAATTAATATCCAGTTTAATGATGGATCGTAATGAAACTATCCTTATATAGCATTGTCAGTCTCGTCTCACGCTTACTGAGTTCGTGTTGAACTTCCTATGAGTTTTTGGTTTTCTTGTAACCTCTTAAACCAAAAGGGATGAGGGGTTCAAATTCCGTTCAATGTACAGTTATAACATTTTCTCCTTAAAAGAAACGATGTTTAAGCATGAACCACTTGCTATGTTAGCTACGATGTTGGAGTATGTGTAGCTTGGACTTGCTCTAAAATGAGCCTGAAATCGTCCACACCAGACCTCAGTTTGTTAGCTTATGAAAGAGCTTGGATGAGCTTTTCTCTGAGCTGATTTTTTCATGGAGACATAGAACTGAGAACTTAAATTGAAGATTTTGCACGAGTTTGTAATAGCAGTAGTTCAAACACTTGATTTTCCAAGTGATGTTGAAGGTATCCTTGCTGTTGACAATATATTAGACTGCTCAATACAAATTATCAATCTTGGACTCCTTAAGTTAATATTCAAATGAGAGCTTATGAGGTCTCTTTGGGATATATATATTTGCATGTATGAATCAACGAGGACACATTATATTCTGTCCTTTTGTTTATTCCTACTTTCATTTGGCAATGAATAGCAAAAATGAAAGCAGGCTACATGTAGGATTTTCCTCCTTGAACTGAGCAATTTTAGCTTATACTTAGCTTAAATCCCTCGTTGTGAGTGGTGTAAAGAATAAGGAAGAGGAGGGAAATTGTGTCACTTGCTTGATGAAATCAACAT